GGGAAGGCCCCGGCGGGGGGGTGCCCTCCCAGCCAGTGGCACAGCTCTGGCCAATCCTCCACCGCAAGAGGCTGGCACAGAATAAAGGCTGCAATAAAGCAGAGAACAGGGGCAGGTAGGGGGAGACATTTCCAGCAGGCATCAGTCAGCAGTGCTCTGCAGGGCGCCCCCCACACCATTCAGTCAGCAGTGCTCTGCAGGGCGCCCCCACACCATTCAGTCAGCAGTGCTCTGCAGGGCGCCCCCACACCATTCAGTCAGCAGTGCTCTGCAGGGCGCCCCCACACCATTCAGTCAGCAGTGCTCTGCAGGGCGCCCCCACACCATTCAGTCAGCAGTGCTCTGCAGGGCGCCCCCACACCATTCAGTCAGCAGTGCTCTGCAGGGCGCCCCCACACCATTCAGTCAGCAGTGCTCTGCAGGGCGCCCCCACACCATTCAGTCAGCAGTGCTCTGCAGGGCGCCCCCACACCATTCAGTCAGCAGTGCTCTGCAGGGCGCCCCCACACCATTCAGTCAGCAGTGCTCTGCAGGGCGCCCCCACACCATTCAGTCAGCAGTGCTCTGCAGGGCGCCCCCACACCATTCAGTCAGCAGTGCTCTGCAGGGCGCCCCCACACCATTCAGTCAGCAGTGCTCTGCAGGGCGCCCCCACACCATTCAGTCAGCAGTGCTCTGCAGGGCGCCCCCACACCATTCAGTCAGCAGTGCTCTGCAGGGCGCCCCCACACCATTCAGTCAGCAGTGCTCTGCAGGGCGCCCCCACACCATTCAGTCAGCAGTGCTCTGCAGGGCGCCCCCACACCATTCAGTCAGCAGTGCTCTGCAGGGCGCCCCCACACCATTCAGTCAGCAGTGCTCTGCAGGGCGCCCCCACACCATTCAGTCAGCAGTGCTCTGCAGGGCGCCCCCACACCATTCAGTCAGCAGTGCTCTGCAGGGCGCCCCCACACCATTCAGTCAGCAGTGCTCTGCAGGGCGCCCCCACACCATTCAGTCAGCAGTGCTCTGCAGGGCGCCCCCACACCATTCAGTCAGCAGTGCTCTGCAGGGCGCCCCCACACCATTCAGTCAGCAGTGCTCTGCAGGGCGCCCCCACACCATTCAGTCAGCAGTGCTCTGCAGGGCGCCCCCACACCATTCAGTCAGCAGTGCTCTGCAGGGCGCCCCCACACCATTCAGTCAGCAGTGCTCTGCAGGGCGCCCCCACACCATTCAGTCAGCAGTGCTCTGCAGGGCGCCCCCACACCATTCAGTCAGCAGTGCTCTGCAGGGCGCCCCCACACCATTCAGTCAGCAGTGCTCTGCAGGGCGCCCCCACACCATTCAGTCAGCAGTGCTCTGCAGGGCGCCCCCACACCATTCAGTCAGCAGTGCTCTGCAGGGCGCCCCCACACCATTCAGTCAGCAGTGCTCTGCAGGGCGCCCCCACACCATTCAGTCAGCAGTGCTCTGCAGGGCGCCCCCACACCATTCAGTCAGCAGTGCTCTGCAGGGCGCCCCCACACCATTCAGTCAGCAGTGCTCTGCAGGGCGCCCCCACACCATTCAGTCAGCAGTGCTCTGCAGGGCGCCCCCACACCATTCAGTCAGCAGTGCTCTGCAGGGCGCCCCCACACCATTCAGTCAGCAGTGCTCTGCAGGGCGCCCCCACACCATTCAGTCAGCAGTGCTCTGCAGGGCGCCCCCACACCATTCAGTCAGCAGTGCTCTGCAGGGCGCCCCCACACCATTCAGTCAGCAGTGCTCTGCAGGGCGCCCCCACACCATTCAGTCAGCAGTGCTCTGCAGGGCGCCCCCACACCATTCAGTCAGCAGTGCTCTGCAGGGCGCCCCCCACACCATTCAGTCAGCAGTCCTCTGCAGGGCGCCCCCCACACCATTCAGGGCTCAAGCTGGCGCCAGAGGGGGGGATTGGGGAAACTTTTGGGTCAGGGACCACTGGTCCACAGGAAAATCAGTCGGGAATCGCACACAAGTGAGAAGCAAAAAGCTCAGGAGAAAACCCTCATTGACCTGGCCCCCAACAGAAAAAAGACATTCACCTTACTACCCTCGAGCTCTACCTGAGCCTGGGGGGACTGGGGCTAGTACATTTTGTGGGGCCCCCAGGCTCTGGGATGGGGCCAAAGTGAGAGGTTCAGTGAATGGGAAGGAGCAGCTGGGGAGTGGGCTGGGCAGAAGGTGGGATACAGGAGTGAGTTTGGAATCTGGGCAGGAGGGGGGTTCAAGAGGAGGGCGAGGGTGTGGGGTTTGGGTAGGAGGGAAGTGCAGGAACAGGCGGGATCTGGGCCAGAAGGGCAGGGGAGAGGGGCACTTACCTGGCACGGTTCCCGAAGCAGGGGGATGGCTCTACAGGCTTCAGGGAAGTGCCCTCTGCAGACACTATCCCCCACCAGCCATGGGAGAGCATTTCTCTATAGCCCGTAGAGCGGTTTCCACCCGTGCCAGGCACAGCCTGCAGTCCGGATCCGGCCCCGGCTTGTCTTAATTGGGCCTGCAGGGCTCAGGACTATCCCAGCAGCTTGCTCTGCTGCAGGGGGTAGGGGGCAAGGCCTGAGCCCTTGGGGAGGAGGTTCCCCATCCCACCTTGATGCTGATGTTTTCTGACTCATGAAGCTCCTGTGCAGGGACCCAGCAGCCTTTTGTGCAGTGCATGACCAGTCGGGGTCGAGCTGGGCCTGCTGGGCCTGGAAACACCTTCCTAACGCAAATGCAAGAGGTTCTCAGCCCCACTGCCTCAGGGACTGACCCCCCAGAGAGCAGCAGCCTGGCCCCACACTGGGTTGAGCTGCCCCCAGCTGAGTGAGGCTGTACAGGACCTGTGCAGGGACCCAGCAGCCTTTTGTGCAGTGCATGACCAGTCGGGGTCGAGCTGGGCCTGCTGGGCCTGGAAACACCTTCCTAACGCAAATGCAAGAGGTTCTCAGCCCCACTGCCTCAGGGACTGACCCCCCAGAGAGCAGCAGCCTGGCCCCACACTGGGTTGAGCTGCCCCCAGCTGAGTGAGGCTGTACAGGA